ATTTATGACTAAAAGACCATCTTCTGATCTGTTCTGATGGGCTACCTCCCTTCCCTGCCCTAACTTATGCAGTTTGTTAGGAAGATCAAATATAACCATGTATGTAAAAATATAAGCTATTTTCCAGTAGGCAAATTCTTTTCAAGGTATTTTCCCCTTCCCTATTTATTTCAGTTATATTTTATTTCTTTGTACTATTGATAAAAATATAAAAAGGAAGACAATAGTAAATAACAATTACTAAATGTGCTGATAATTATAAAAAATTGTAAAAGAAAAGAGGATATAATCATGAAATCTGCCTATTTAAATCATTCTTTGATTTGCCATTGGTTTCTGTCACAAGAATTATAAAATTATTTATAGTATGTGTATTAGAATTTGTGGTTGGGAACTATAATTATCCATAGTTTTCTATTATATGTATCCCAGTTAATAAAGAAATGTGGCAGAGATCCTTTTAATGTGTCCCTTGAAAGAAAAGTTGTCTGGGAGATTACATGTTCTCTTACTGTAATGCCTTCTTCAAAAAAGACATATACATGAGAAACAAGTTCTTTTCAGGAAATATTGCCATAAGATTTGTTATTAGAACACTGACTTTGCGTAGCCCTCCAGGATGGGGGTGGTGGTGGGGAAAGAGCAGTTGGAGTAGAGTGATAAAGAGAAAAGGGAAGATAAATATCATTAATAGACCAACTTTTACATGTCATTGGCACAATTTAGTTTTGACAAATCTGAGAGATTTAAAAAATAAAAAGCGGACATAAAACAAACACTTTTGGGGATATGCATTTACTTCACAAATTTAATTAACTAAACATTCTCCAGCTATCTTAAAAAATGCTCTCTACTAAATTAGAAAACTTTTAAATCCACCACATAAACTCTTGAACCATTGGCCTCAGGGCATGTTATCTTGTCTAATCAATCACCTCACAAGGATTTTTTTTTTTTTTTTTTTTTTTACTTTCTATAAAGTACCCCAGACTCTGACAATCCATTGTCTTGTCACACCATTGCTCTGGCCAAACAAATTCCATCCTGTTTTCTCCTTTATCACATATAATTTGGCCTTGTTTTTACATTCTAGACTTTCTTCCCTTGCTTTTTCATTTCTCTCTACTGACTCCAAGTGCCTTTCTTTAAAAAAAAATAAAAATAAAAAAGACACTTTCAACAAGTAGACAAACAGTTTCAATCAGTAGATTTCATTTTTTTCTTTTCCAGAACAATTGCTGTTTTGTGCTTTCTTGTCATTCCATCATTTTTCTTGAGATTGTGGTAAGGTATGTACACCATACTCTGAGAGTCTTTGAGGACCCTACACACTCCTCTTTTCTCCACTTTTCCATTAGGGCTAGAGTGTGTATCTGGTCATCCCATTTCTTGCAGGGATACACATATTTATTTTTTTATAGTGGGCATAAGCATAAACAAACACATATTTGAGGAAATTTCTCTCACATCATCATCCCCCTTCTTTATCTTCTATTTCAAATTCCCTTCTTTGTTGTCCCTCAGTATCATTTAGATGCCTTGCTTTTGTGTTCTCATGATGTATTGTTCAATTGTACCACTTACTTTACGGCAACATAATCCGATTATTTGTCTTTCTTCTCCAATAGACACCTTGGTGGCAAGAACTATGTCTCACTCAAATGTAATATTTCAGGATATTGCCCCATATGTAGTACCTAGTAAGAGCTGGATAACAGTAGATGGAAATTAACCTGTTAGTGGAATTATCACCTTAAATAAAGGGAGGGAATATTTGAGTGAAAGAAAAGGATTACTAAGGAAGAACAAGAAAGTAAAATGGGCTGATTTGGAAAATGTAAAAGGCTGAAAAACCAGTCTGCTAATGGTATCTATAGAATTCCTGCCTTTCCATCTGTGGAAAGAGAAGAGAGTGCCATCTTCTCCAAAGTTGACCCCAAAGACACAACCAAGCTCCACCTACGTTAGAGTTTTCAGCAGACTGAAGAATTAAGCAGAGGCCTGCATTAGCTGCTGATGTCATATAAATATCTTCCATAACTAAAGACAAAGTGGAGTGGAAAAGTTTCTATGAGCTCTGAAAGTCAGTTCATTGGAACAAACATGTATCGAAAGCCCACTTTTTGCTGGAGCTGTAGATATAAAGACAACTGGGACATTGTTTCGTAATAATTCTTTTTCAATCGAATTAACTATTCTAATCGCTACAGCTATCTCTATGTCAGACATCCCTAACATCAGTCAACAAGATCTTTAATACTTTTTCTCGTGAAGAATTCCAAATGGCTTCTTTTCCTATAGGTATCCCATTCTTCTCTGCCCACTGTGAATTTAGCTTTAAGTTTCCAGTAGATGATACAGCCAAACAGAGTCTAATAGATGGTGTTACATTGGTAGTTTCTTACTATATATTATAGTTTTCATTTATTTATTTAAAAATATTTTTGTGCAGTGACTATGTGCCTGAATGTTTCGGTCCACTGAAATACGTAGATGATTAAGATAGACAATATTCCATTTTCATAGAGCTTATATACCCATGAGGGCAGAGAATAAACAAAAATAAATGGTATCATGGGCCGGCCAAGTGGCGCATTGGTTAAGAGCTGGCTTGGAATGCCAGAGGGCCCTGGTTCAGATCCCACATATGAGGGCCAGTGACACTGCCCTCNCAACAGCTCAACCTGGAGCTGGGCTGCCATGAGTCACCGGTGACGGTGTAGGCTGCAACCCCTGCTGCAGTGGGCTGCCATGGGCTACCGTGTGTAGCCAGCAGCCAGCGTGAGCGGCTGTCCAGAAGCCGGCGACTGATCTGCCTCGCTCGGGAAGAGCGCAATGATGGTGCCAACTTGGGCCAGTGAAGCAACGTCCTCCACAACCAGACTGAAGAACAAAACAACAGCAACTTGTCTGTTCCTCTTCCCCCAATTCCCCAGCGCTGTTCCCATCCCCCAATTCCCCAATAAAAATCTTAAAAATAAATAAATAAATAAAAATAAATGGTATCAGTCAGCATTTATCCTACAATAATGCTATGAAACAAACAACTCTCAATCTCTAAATTGAAACACCAAATATTCATTTGTCTCATTCGCCGTTCTGTGGTCAGCTGGAAGGTGACCAATCTTAGCATGGTTCAGCTTATCTTGGCTCAAAACCATCAGTTGGGTTCAAATCTGCTCCCGTTATCTCTTTGGCTTCTCCCTGGACCAGCAGTTATCTGGGGATATGTTCTCCTCATGGGGAATGGCAGGAGTGCAAGTGAAAGATCTGGATCATGCCTGCAAGCCTAAAACTCTGCTTTAGACACATTTACTAACTTGTAATTAACCAAGATAATTCATATGCCACACCCAACATTAATGTATCAAAGAAATATTTTTTCATTCATAGTGGGAAGAACTGCAAGTTATATGGAAAACAGTGTGAATGTATAATTTTATAATAAGGAGGGAATGAAGATTTGAAAATAACAATTCAATGTATCTACCACTGTCTGCCCTCTTGGTCACAGCTGTTCAGAATCCTTTTGCATATGGGATGTACTCATTGGCATTCAAAAAAATCTCACAAAGTCTCACCCAATCATGGTATCAGGTTCAAAGTCCAGGATCTCATGATCTATGTCAGGCCTAGGTAGAGCTGCTCTTGATCTGGCCATCTATGAACTCAAAGATACATTATCTACCCCTACACATCTAATATACAATATTGGAATAAGGACAGGATGAACAAATTAAACAGTTGCACTCAAAAGGAAAAAACTGAGAGAAATATAGAAATAACTGGTCTATAGCAATTTTGAAATTCTGCTGACCAAATCTTGCCAGGTTCCCCTACAAAGAGGTTGGTATGTATTTTGGTTAAGCCCTGGTTCTGCACCTGGGAGTTGATCACCCATTTCCTCTGCCCTGCTCTTGAAACTCCCTCTTACATCTCTGGCTTTTCTGATCAGTATTGGAGAATATGCCCTTCTTGGAAGCTAAGCAGATTCTCTGCCTGCTTCTTGCCTGTAAAATTTGGGGGGTACCTAGATCTTTATATATCTCAAACAGATATAGTCTTTCTACATCTAAGCTGGTGGCAATTTTTCTGCTACAACTCTCTCAAAAACTTGGTGGGTTTTCTATGTATGATTCCTGTCAACTACATGTGTCAAATGCCTCACCCACAATTCTTTTAAAAACGTGCTTCTTTCTAGAGATAAGTGTAGGTACTTTGCATGTATTAGTCACCTGTGAGTTGTATTCTCAGTCTCCTTAATCTTTTCAGGGGCCTTAACAAAGAGTGTGACAATCACTTTGCTGATTTTGACTTGACTTTGTGACAGTGTCCGAATGGCCACACCTTTAGGTAGAGAAATGGTTTAATTTTTCAAACTTACTATTTCCAGAATTACTAGTATCTCTCATTTCTCCTCACTCCTGCTTGAAAACCAGTCAACTTTTTGCAGTCTCTTTCTTGTAGTAACTTACCAAATGCAGATAATAGCAACTAACTCATACTTTGAACATACTGCCTCAAAAACTTCTCAGCCCCATGCTATGAGTATACTTAGTCCATTTTTTGCCTTCTAGGCTGCTATGGTCAATAGTTTTATGTTTTGTTACTAAATAATATGGGCTGTCATTTTTCCAGCTTCTTATTACAGTTATGAGAGTTTTCTCTTTATTTACTATGTGATCCCAGACCAAAAGATACATATTTTAGGTTTTTTTGACAGAAGAAGCCCTTTTCTGGTATACTTTCTGTATTAATTAGCAACTGGCACAATTATAGTGAATGGCAAACCTCACACCCAAGCACAAATTTCAGAGGCTCAAACAATAAGTGTTTATTTTCTTTATTTTCTTGCTAATGGTCCCATGAATAGGCTGAAATAACACTACTTCAGGTCTTGAGGGACTTGGTTCTAGATCTCTGATTAGGTTAAGTTTTGTTCTAAGAGTCTCTTTATTCTTCTTCCAAAAGTGACTACTTACCAACATATTTTCTTATAGGGAATGGCAGAAGCACCAGGGCACAAGCAAGACTCACAGCATATTTAAAGACTGTTCTCATCACACCTGCCAACATTTAATTACCCAGTGCAAGTCATGAGGCTGAGCCTAACATCAATGGGGTAAGGATTGTTTTCTACCCATTGTTATCTGTCACACTGCATGTCTATTACAGTAGGGAGGGAGTCAAAAATTGAGAACAGTTCAACTTGCACACATGCAAACAAGAAAATATTAACTAGTACAAATACTGTGAGGAAAACTAAGCAGAGCAGTACTTAGAGAATGCCTGGAAAAGCTACTAAGAATAGTTTCTTAGAGATGACATTTCAACCCAGGTAGAGGGAACAGACAGTGCAAACACCCAGAAGCAGGGAATATGCTCAGAGTGATGAAGTGACATAAGACCATAAGGAGGGTGGTAGAAGAGGAAATCACTGCAATAGGCAGAGGCCAGATTATTTAGACCTCTGTTGTTATCACTGTTACATGCAATATCATATAACTGGGCATTTCAGATGATTATTTGTCAAATGCTGAAAAAAAAAACCAAAAAACAGTTTTGGTGAGTTCTACTGTTGTCCTGATAACCCAGGAGTATGGTAGCTGAACTCAACCAGTCTGGAAAGTTTCATACAAATTGAGTTGCATCATCAGTTCTAAATAATTTACCTTCCCACTGGTTGGTAATGGAGTTGCCGGCTAACTTGTTTCTGGAACACCAGAATACACTAAGAATTCTTGACTAGAGAGGTACCGGCTGAAATACTGAAGAGATGAAATGGTGGCCTCTGAAACTACTTGGCTTCTTAACAATTCTAGGTATTTCTTTCCCCCTGGGCCCCTTAGAGCTAAATGAAATATAAAGGCGCTGGAGCCTCCTTTCCTCCCCTTAGTCTCACTCTGGGGAAAAACCTCTTATTCTTTTGATCTCTAGAGGGTTTTCTGGATCGGAAATAGCAACAGCTCTGATTGTTGGTGATATCTTTTCTCAGGGAAGCCTTTGTGCTGGTGCTTTGGACAGAGAGAAAATTTGGGGTATGAACCCCAGAGGTCTAGCCCTTGCCCTTGGGAAGTTCATGATTAATCGTTGTGTGGAATAAGTTTAAATGGGGGCACACTCGTGACCACAAATAGTGCAGTCACATGCAAAGTCAGTTATAAGTATCTCCAAATTTCACTAAATTAAAAATACAGAGATGCCAAACACTGAAATCATGAAACCCTGAGCACTTTCTAGAAATAACCATTGACCTTTGTCCTATGTGAAACACTTTGTTAAACATTGGCATTTAATTAGCCAGACTTTCTTTTGTCCTCAACTTTCAGAAGATGTAAGGAAAATAGAGCTATTCTCCTTTGACGTTGAGAAGCTGCCGCTCTCCCTGGGTCACAGTAACACCTCTTCAAGAGTGCCCTTTTTTTTTTTAAAGATTTTTTTTTAATTGGGGAATTGGGGGGATGGGAACAATGCTGGGGAATTGGGGGAAGGGGAACAGACAAATTGCTGTTGTTTTGTTCTTCATTCTAGTGGAGGATGTGGCTTCACTGGCCCAAGTTGGCACCATCATTGCGCTCTTCCCAAGCGAGGCAGATCAGTCGCCGGCTTCTGGACGGCCGCTCACTGCAGCTGCTGGCCGCTCACGCTGGCTGCTGGCTACACACGGTAGCCCATGGCAACCCACTGCCACAGGGGCTGCAGCCTACGCCGTTGCCGGCGACTCAGGGCAGCCCAGCTCCAGGTTGAGCTGTTGTTCAGCATCTTAGCTGTAGAGGGCAGTGTCACTGGCCCTCATATGTGGGATCCGAACCGGGGCCCTCTGGCGTCCCAAGCCAGTTCTTAACCATTGCGCCACTCGGCCGGCCCAAGAGTGCCCTTGACTTCTATTAAGAATGACCAGCTAACCAGGTGAAATACAGAACTGTAAATTTGCACCGCAGTATCTTTTAGCAAGAAAGGTGCTGTGCCTAGATGAACCAGAATACACTGGCTGTTGGAGCTCAGATACAATGATGAGGACTCCAAAGCAGTGGGCAGAGATCAGTTCAGCATCACCACCTGTCTCAGAGGCTGCACCTCTTTATCTCAGATGGGACCCTGAGGTCATTAGCACGGAAGCAGCTTATCCTCTGGTCAGCTCCTGTGCCACAAGTTAGGACAGGAATCCTGCCCGGAGGAGGACTTGGGTCCCGGCTCCTAAATATCACCGCTGGACACAGCTGTCAGCACTGCCCAACGAAGCAAGCATGCCACCCGGCCTGACGAGAGCTGTTCCAGCGCCTAAGAGTGGCAGGTTAAAAACCTATAGGACAGTTCAATCAAAAGCATTGCCTGGCTCTGTCCTGTGTGCTATTGTATGTTGGAACACATGCTGCTAGGAGACAAAGAGGACACACGTTTATTTTCAAGCGTAGGACTTTGGAACCACTTGGGAAGAATATTCTTGATTGAGAACCAAAACATTCCATGATGCTTAACAAACCTGCAAATTGAAAAATCAGCATAGGCCCATGCAACTGGGAGGCAGGAGAAGGACCTATATATACCCCGAAAAAAAATTTTTTTTTAATATTCCTTAAATGATATTTGTGTGCATTTGCAAAATTACTGTTTTCTGAATCAAAGTCTCAAGCTGTTTTCATATGAGAACATATGTGGTGCCATTAGACAATATCTCAGCCCGCTGCCGCCCAGGACATACCCCGCCGCATTGCATAATGGACAGTCCCGCGAAGAAGACGCCACAGCTCTCAGTCAATGCCCCTGTAATAATGTTTTAAAATAAATGATATGCATCATTAAATCACCGAGGATGACTAACTCAATTTTAGAAAACCCACAACTCCAGCAATCATAGTTACAGCTCTGATTTGAATATTTTCACTTTCACCTGAGCAGCCAGTGGGAGCCAGTCAAGCAGATTCGTATCCAGGCTGTACTCTCAGAGGAGGGAGAAGGAACCTGTGATTATGTAGTTACAGTAACGTCGGCGAGATGCCTCCTGTCCGCCTGGGCTTCGCAGACTTTTCCTTCCTCCCTTCTTGCCTTCTTATTTACATATCACAGGCATCCTCTTTGTAAAGTTATTTTAAATAATTTATTAGATTGATCTTTTTAAAATTCTATCCTGGCTAAATGTCATAAGGAGAGAGGGAAAAAAAAAGTCTTCTAAACTTATTTAAAGGTTTCTACTGGAGTCGGCCAGTTACCTGCTTCACTGCTGATATTCTAAAAATACCTCCATGTCCGTACTATTATCCATTCTTCACGTCCAATTGCTCTGTTATGGTAATAGTCAGAAGCACACCATGCAGTAATTACTTACAGCTGACTGAAGAAAAGAATATTCAACTCCCCCACTGTTCCACTAGAAGGTCTTTATGCACTATTAACTCATTCCTGTTTATTAATACTCTACTGGTAATTCAGGCTGCTGCCTCTTAGGTTTGTAATAGGAGGACTATTAAACAGCAATTACTGACCATATGGGTTGGCGAATATTTGTTGTTTTTTTCGGTGGGCTTCTCCCCCACCCCACCCCACCTCAACTTGTTTTTTAAGAAGCCATATTACTACACAGTAAAAGTAACATCACATCTGCATGAGATTAACAAGCTTGGCAGTCTTTCTCCCTTAGAAAATGTGAATTTATTCCCAGATTATCATTGCTGGCTTAGGAAAACAGTATCGTGGAAGAAATAGGAAAATGTGGAAGATTGCTCACATGTGGGCTGCCCCCCTCCTTTGGAAGATATCTTGGCTCTTATGTTTCCTAAGTCACCCAGTAAGCTGTTTCCTCTTACTGCCTTTGAGGGGAACTGACCCACCTCACCTCCTGAAAAATATGCCGAAAACTTTACTGAAAAATCCTAATATAATATACCATTTCCCTTTTAAGCTCCCCCAAGCATTTGGAAGTGGTCACTTTAAAATTTAACATTTAGTAAATTCATCTCCCAAAGAGCAGGTATACAAACCCTGGGAGATGGCACAGGCTCTTTCTGAGAGAGGGATGGTGTGAGTAATGGGTTCAAGTGAGGCAGGCAGGTGGTAAATGATGATTATGGTAATAATAGTTTGTGGCTGTCTCACAGGTAGTAAGCACTAAGCATGTGGCAAGCACTAAACACATTTAAATAGACAGGCGTCTTTGAGATCAATAAGAGCCCAAGAGGTGATTTCGTTGGGAAGATGTTGAGATCTAGAACAGGTAAGTGGCTTGACCAGCAACTTCCCCTGAAGTGGTGGCAGAGGCTGGGTACCTGGGCTCTGTGACATAGCCAGCTTTCGCTCCAAAGCAGGTGGTCCTTGGGGCTTGTCTTCCATTTTCCCCCATCCCCCTTAAGGAGTCATTCTTTCTTTGTGTCCAAATCCTTTTAGCCCTTCAACAAACAGGTCCAACCTCTGAAAACACCAGTTTGCCCCAGTCTCACTTTTGCCGCACTACCAAGCAAATTTAGTGTTTATCTTTGCAGGTAGTTGTTACCTGCTGGTGTTGTGTGAAAGGTTTTTCTCCCAGATACACTCTAAATCCTTGAAGACAGGGACCATATCTTTTAAACTTTTCTTCTATTTATCCCTGCACCTAGCTTGGTAATGGATGCTTAGTTGGTGCTAAATAGAAATGGGAAGAACTCAATGGAAATAAGTAAAAGAAAAAAGAACACCAGTCCCTAAACTTTCTTACTCTACAGAGATGTAGGACAACAGTTTCTGAGTTAAGTAGGGAAAAACAGACAGATAAACAACAACTACAAAATGACAAATGTCCGTGCAAAAGCAGAATAGTACCAAGCTAATGGATAGCACATAATTGATGTTCAGTGATTGAATTGAGTTGAATTAAACTTGTTAAGTCAGACCCTCATAAGATCCCAGAGCTTTTTCACAGTGGGTCTAAACAATAGGAAATATTGCAAGGAATTTATGTTATCTGTCATAACGTAACATAGAATCCTGGCTTGCTTTGGACTGAGAGGACCCTCCAGAGGAAGATGGGCTTCTCCCAGAATTTCTGTGGTGGGTACCTTCAACAATACGGACAGATCTCAGGTAGGATCAGACCTACCTGGTGCGATTTGAAAGGCACCAAGAGTCCTAGCCTTCCTCCAATGTCTCATA